TTAAACAGCCCGCACCTGTGGTCATGTCTGTGTGCCCAGGTGGGGCCTGGGCCGAAGGCACTCCCCCAGATGGCAGTCCCTGCAAGGGGAACCCTATTTGATATAAGTCTTAGGAACCCCCGCCTGGATTGACCTATGTGTCACTTTCGGTGGGCGGGCCAGAAGTATTTGATTGCCACATGCCCAAGCCAAACCTCTTTCATCTGTATTCAATAAAGTTGCGGTCTTTATTTATCTGGGGTTGGGGTCTGGGGAGCGCGATACCTTGCCCCACAACTCTGACCATTGTGAACGCTGGCTGATGGGTGTTTGAGCCCAGAGCACACCGAGAACATCAGGTTGGGGAGAGCTACCATATTCTGTCGTTTCCTTTTTGTGTAATAAACCAACATTTCTGTCATTGTTTTGTGTGAGAAGTCCTTGTGGGCATGAGACTGGGGGTAAACACATATTCATAACAAACACATGTCTAGCAAAAGGTCCTAAACTTCTTGATAAGGGTGTGTGGAAGTTTTTAATATTTAATGCTGTATTGTTTTTAACATTTGATTGGAAACCGCCCAGAGTGGCTGGGGAAACTCAGTCAGATGGGTGGGGTATAAATAGAAAATTATTATTATTATATGATTATGTGTTATGGATATGCATTTGGGTTCGGACACATGCATTGTAACAGTGTCTGTCGGTTTACGCTTAGGCCAATAACCTTTAACATCTAGTTGATTGCACAGCAATTATTTCGTTTATGAGCCAATGCCATATCCTGTATAACCTTGCCCTCACAAAATGCCTTCCAGGAAGCACAGTGGTTGGTGGGGCACAGGGGGAAGCCACGACACATCTCTATGAATGAAACCATTACTGCTGGGCGACTGACTGAGAAAATGAGCCCTGGAAAAATCACAGCCTTCTTAAACCAGAAAAGCATATTTACCGCAAGCAATTCAGTGATTGCCATTCCTGCAGAGTAAGCACTTTGGCCAATCAGCTACAGAGGCATAAGCAACTGGATATGATGCCAGAAGGAGGAAGAACAAGATGGAGGGACACACAAAGGCTGCGTCAGAATCTTGAGTGCCAGGAAGCAGAAGACCCGCAATCCTTCCCAGTGGCTCACCAGAGCTTATATAACAACATCCATCCATGTTGTCCCAGAGTGGGCTACAGCAACTTAAAAATAAAATATTTTAAATGAGTTTAAAAACAAATATTGTTCTTCTGTTAATGACAAGTATATAGTGCACATGACATCGTGCCATGTTACGTTCCAGATGTGAATAAATTAACTTTTAATCTCTTACAGAACTGCTCCTGCAGTTTAACCAACGCCTACCATCCTAAACCTCCTTCTCAGTTGTCCTAATGTCGGCCCGTTCCCTCTCCTTCCCCAGAGTTCACTTTTATTTAATGGGGAAATAACATATTAACTAACAATAAAGGGGACACTTGGAGATAACTTGTGGATTTGTAAACTAGTTGATGGTGGTTTGTGGGTTGTTGTTTTTTTAATGCTTGGTACTTTTCGTTCCAGGGTTGCATTTGTGTTCCCTTTAAATACTTTTACTGTTTTATCAGAGTCAGAACATTTTGTTCAGGTGGTCTTGCCCTTAATTTTGGCATTCTAGGATGAGTCTTTCTTAATGAGATCTGCTCTCTGCTGTTTCACTTTGCTGATGGTTTTGCTGTAGTTTGAATGCTGTTAGCCTCCTTGAGCACTACTTTGGTAAGTAGAAAGGCAGGATAAAGGTAAAGGTAAAGGGACCCCTGACCATTAGGTCCAGTTGTGGCCGACTCTGGGGTTGCGGCGCTCATCTCACTTTATTGGCAGAGGGAGCCGGTGTACAGCTTATGGGTCATGTGGCCAGCATGACTAAGCCGCTTCTGGCGAACCAGAGCAGCGCACGGAAACGCAGTTTACCTTCCCGCCAGAGCGGTACCTATTTATCTACTTGCACTTTGACGTGCTTTCGAACTGCTAGGTTGGCAGGAGCAGGGACCGAGCAACAGGAGCTCACCCCGTCGCAGGGATTCGAACCGCCAACCTTCTGATCGGCAAGTCCTAGGCTCTGTGGTTTAACCCACAGCGCCACCCGCGTCCCATAGAAAGGCAGGATAGAAAATAAATAATAAAGATAAAGCTTGAGGCAGATACTAAATTGGCCTAAGGTGAAGGCAGGCTGCAGTTACCTTTCACACACATACTGTGTAAAGCAGTCATTCGCCTCTGCTGCTGGTAAAATGCACTCAGTCACCCAAAGGATGCTGTGTTATCCTGGGACTTAACTCATTGCTGTTCTCTGCCCTAAGCAAGCCTTAGCCTCACCTTGTTTCATGCAGCTTTCCCTTGCCCTTGCCCTCTTTCCTTCACTCCCAACCGGCAAGACATGAGCCGGGTCTGAAAACCTGATAGTAAAGGCAGGAGGGGTAAATTTTGTGCAGAATATACATCCCCAAAGGACTGAAGCAGGTTATTGAAGCTATATGTTACTGGAGAAAGCAAGAGAACCCTGAACATTCTGACATTCTTCTGGGATTTCAGGGCAATGCAATTACAGGCTGAATAACTGGCAATCTGCTCTGCAGGACAGCCGTGCTCAAAAGACAGAACCTTCACAAGTTATTTTGACATACAGCCTTCTGAAATGAAGTCCCATCAGAGCTCAGCTTGACAGCCCATCCTGCTTGGGCAAAGTTAGAGCAATGATATGTTCATGTCTAAACAACACCCACACACATACACAAACACCCACACACACCACCACCACCACCACCACCCCAAAAAGAAAAGATATCCTGGAAAAAATGGCCTTAAATCAGAACTCAGTGACAAGTCTCAGGGTTTAAAATGAGACATTTCAAGATGAGACATACTGAACTGCTCCTGTCCAAGGTCTCTTCACAGGGGTGGAAGGTGTCTCCGAAAAAATTTACACATCACTTGGGAAGACAGGCGAACAAATGCCAGTGTACTGGAATAAGCAAAGATCACCAGTGTCGAAGCAATGATTCTTCAACATCAACTTTGTTGAACCGGTTATGTTGGGCAGATACCTGATTATCATCTTCCAAAGCAACTACTCTATTCTGAACTTAAAAATGGAAAGCATAATGCTGGTGGTCAACAAAAGAGGTTCAAAGACTCAGGGCAAATCTAAAAAATGTAGTATAAACACTGACAACTGGGAAACACTGGCCTGCAAGCGCTCCAATTGGAGAACAGCCTTTGCCTAAGGTGTCATGGGTTCTGAAGACGCTCGAACTGAGGACGAAAGGGAGAAACACACTAAGAGGAAGGCATGTTTGGCAAATGCTCACCATGGAAAATTATGTCCTCACTGTGGAAGGACGTGTGGATCTAGAATTGACCTCCACAGTCACTTACGGACTCACGGTTAAACCGTGTTTATGGAAGACAATCTTACTCGGCTATGAGTGATCACCAGAGAAGAGGGAGAGAGGAAGGAGAGAGTTTGCACTGTGGTATAAATGGACTTATGAGTATGCATTGATTTCCACAGGGAGTTAATTTCCATAGGCAGCTGCCTGTTGAGACTCAGGATAAAACGCAGACAAAAACATGGCCACAGCCTCTCCTAGGCTACATTCTCATTTAAAGAAATTGCAATTTGTTTGTTTGTTTGTTTGTTTTTTAAAAAAACTTAGGACACAAAGACCTGTCAGGAAATGAAAGGCAACACATGAAATTAAGAGCAAACAAGTTATGCAAATTAGCTGTTCTGCAACGTGATGGTTCCACGTCATTAACAAAAAGTGTTTGATGAAGTGGAGAGCACCCAAAACAAAAAACAAAACAAAAAACCCAGCATGTGATTATACTTGGAAAGAGAGCAATTTGAATTAATGCTTTTATTGTGTGCAAGCTGTTCTTCCCAGCTCTTAAGCATGCTAGGTTATAATACAGTCACAACTGTATTCATAACTAGGTCCCCCCCTCAAAGTTGGTTCAAAACCTACAACAAAGAGCAGGATTATGGTGAGGGAATAATTCTGTCTGATGTCATACAGGCAGAGCACAAGAACAGAAGAGCCCTCCTGGATCATCTAGTCCGCATCCTGTTCTCACAGTGGCCAATGAGATGCCCCAATTGGAAGCAGAACATGAGTTTCATTTCACTCTCCCCTATTTGTGCTCCCCAGAAACTCATATCTTACTTCATCGTTTTTAATCAGAGATGCCAGGAATTGAACTTACGACCTTCTGCACACAAAGCACGCACTCTTGCACTCAGCTATGGCCCTTCCCTTAATTGTCCACTTATAGTCCAAAGTGATCCAGCCCGGCAATGGACGCAGCATCACACAATTGCTAAAGATGATGGCTCGTTCCTGAACTGGTTCTTCCCCAGTGGCTGCTGGGTCAGCGGCTTCCTCCAGTTCCCTTAGCGTGCATTATTTCTGCTCTGACCCTTTTCGTGAACCGTGACTAATGATGCCATTGCATGCGTTGGCTCCTTCATCTGCATAAATGGCTGTGAAAGGCCAGGACCGTGCTTGTAAACAAATGCCTTCCCTTAGCACTGGCATGGTTTCCAACCTTGCTTTCCCACGGTTCCTGCATTTGGTGTGCTTGACTTGCTGGGCCTCCCAGCGCTTGGTCTTTTTGTCTCCAGCAAAGACGTGCACCGGAAGGGCATTGCTTTGGTTTCGCACACGGCAAAACTCTGCTTTCCGTTTCTTCTTAGACTATATTCTTTGTTGCCAATCAAAGCATGCATGTCTTGTTTCCCTTCATTAACTGCAGGTGCACATGGGGGTGTTCTTAGTGGAAACGCACCCACTCAGTGTGGGTGGGGGAGACTTGCCTCTTCACTCCCCGACCACCTTCAGAAGAGAAATCAGCCTTCCCGATTTCAAGAAACCCATATTCCCCACCTCTGTTCCAGTTGGCGGGTGGGGGAAATGAATACAGAATCATAGAACTGTAAGTTGGAAGGGACCCAGAGATTCATCTAGTCCAGATCCCTGCAATGCAGGGATTCTGCCCACAGCTATCCCTGGGTAGGCTTGAACCACCAGCCTTCTGGTTAACAGCCAGACGCACTAACCCATTGCCCAAATGCCTGAGGGCCCCAGTCCTGCCACTCAACACCTGGCCTAGGGTGGGGCTCTATAAAGGACTGCTGCCACTGCTGCTGCTGAGCAGAGAGGGCTCCATTTTGTTTTGTTTTTGTTTTTGTTTAAATTGCTCTTATTTTTTTACCTATGTCATTTAAAACTGTGATATTAATGCTGTATTCTTAGTTTTATATTTTGATTTATGTGGAAATTGTTTCCCATTTGGTTGTGCATTTTTTATGTGGTTTATTTATTGCTTATGATTTTTGTAATTATGTAAATCTTATTATGCTGTAAGCCGCCTTGAGCATTTTTTTTTAACTGTGGAAAGGTGGCATACCAATAAAAAATTATGATGATAATGATGATGATGATAATAATGATGATGATAATAATAATAATAATAATAATAATAATAATAATAATAATAATATATTATTTATACCCCAGCCACTCTGGGCGGCTTCCAAAAAAATATTAAAATACTGTAATACATCAAACATTAAAAGCTTCCGTAAACAGGGCTGCCTTCAGATGCCTTCTGAATGTCAGGTAGTTATTTGTCTCTTTGACATCTGGTGGGAGGGTGTTCCACAGGGCGGGTGCCACTACCGAGAAGGCCCTCTGCCTGGTTCCCTGTAACTTAGCTTCTCACAGTGAGGGAACCACCAGAAGGCCCTTGGCGCTGGACCTCAGTGTCCGGGCAGAACAATGGGGGTGGAGACGCTCCTTCAGATATGATGATAAAGTCAATTAAGGAAAAACAAGCTACATATCAGTCTAGAGGTGGTGAACCTTTCTTCTGCCAGGGGATGTAATTCCCATAGATATAATCTGTCTAGAGCCATGTGCCAGTGGTGGGTACCAGAAGAGGATGGAACATCTCTTCCCTCTTTCTTTCTGCTGCCTGCTTTTCTTCACCTGTCTTTTACCTCTCCCCCCTTCCATTTCCCTTCCCTTCATGTTTTAAGCAAATATCTAGTCTCTACTTTGGGGGGGGGGAGGGTTATGGAGGGAAATGATGAGAAGTTTGGGGCTGGAATTATCAATAGTGGATCAACACAGGAATCCAGCCATTACACTGGCCTAGAAGAAGAGGAAGCCTCACTGGGTGATCTTTTAAAATGGAGCACCCAGGAGGGCTGGGCGATCTGTGTACCTTCCTGTGTGTGCGCACATGAGAGTGTGTATGGTTTATGGTCCCCAGTGGGTTTTTCATGACTGAATATGGCCCTTGATAAGATTAGGCACCTCTTGGTTATTTTACAGCAAAGTGTCAATGCACCAAACAGAAATCCCTGGCAATAGATAACTCCTATCACCCCCCAGTCAGATAATCGGTGATCAGGGACAATGGGAGTGATAGTCCAAAACATCCACAGGGCACCAGTTTGGGAAGGCTGCAGTGAATCATCCTTTGAAAGCCCTGCCTTACATGTTCCTAAAATGTATTTATGTTTCATCTCCATAAGAACACCATGCTCAGTGTTCTTCGCTCATTTAAACATCCAAGACAGCTCAGAATTTATAAGCAAAGGATTCCAGACAGCTGAGCTATCCAGCTGCCCAAAAGGCTATTGGAAAAGGAACCAAGAAGAACACATGGTTCTATTTCTCTGGGACTTGAGCTTCTCTTATCTCTCCCTCTTTCCTCCCTTTCCATGGGACCTGGATGACTTCCAAAGGTCCATTCGTATAATCACTTATATTTTTTAATGCAAAAACAAACATAACAGCAGCAATAAAGTATAGACAAGCACATACTTTTCTGCTGTATGGTATCCACTTCTGAACAATGACACTCAAATCACACCCCTGTCCTTACACTACAGAAACATGCTCAGGATTTGATTATTTCATATGCCACCTGTGAGACCATAAAATTTTGTCCTCAGAGCAATTGAGGACACACAGCGACCTATGAATTAACCAAGATAGTTGGCAATGTACATGAAGATAACCGGGAATTTTTTATTGGTGTTGGGGAGGATTGTTTCAGATTCAGAATGAGACCCTGGGCGCCTGCCTTAGAGCTATGTGAGAGTCATAGAAACTGTCAGCATTTACTGTTGCCATAGTTTTCCCTTCCATCAGTGAGAAGCTCAACACACCTGTCATTGCTGAGAGGAAGGCAGGTGTATAAATGTGACAGGATGATTAGAGACTTCCTCTCTATGAAGGCAGGAAAGGCTTAGAGAGCAACAGATTGACACAAAGATTTCTCAATAAATCAAAAAAGTGGGAGGGGGCTGTACTGAAAACTGTGCTGTTTATCCCGTGCTGAGATGGAAACTGCATGCAAATGACTATCACGTTACTTTTGCACTGGGTTACTGCATCGCAGGCTAACCTTCCAGCTCATTCTCTCTCCCCATAAGTGAAAACACTCCAGAAGGAATCCTTTTTGTTAAGGAATGCTTGGTGGTTCATTTGTTCCCCACATTGCCTTCAAGAAGCTAAAAAAAGGAGGGCAAAAATATATACTGATTGTTGCATACACTTATCCACGCTGTGGTCTAAACCACTGAGTCTCTTGGGCTTGCTGATCAGAAGGTCGGTGGTTCAAATCCCTGCGACAGGGTGAGCTCCTGTTGCTCTGTCCCAGCTCCTGCCAACCTAGCAGTTCGAAAGCACACCAGTGCAAGTAGATAAATAGGTACCACTGTGGTGGGAAGGTAAATGGTGTTTCTGTGTGCTCTGGTTTCTGCCATGGTGTTCTGTTGTGCCAGAAGTGGTTTAGTCATGCTGGCCACATGACCTGGAAAGCTGTCTGTGGACAAACACCAACTCCCTCGGCCTGAAAGCGAGATGAGCACCACAACTCCATAGTCACCTTTGACTGGACTTAGTCATCCAGGGGTCCTTTACCTTTACCTTTATATATATTGCAAGGTTTATAAATAGTTACTAGAATTTAAACAGAAATACAACACATCATAGTGGGGGCAACTGTGGTCAGAGGAACTATGTATCTACTTGCTCAGACTTCTGTTCAGCCACTAACTGTTGGTGGGTAACTTCAAGGCCTCTCTCACTCTCCTTTCTTACAGTCCAGAGGGAGTTTTTCAGTGATGATGATGATCAAAAACTGATGTGGAAATGTGGGAAACTGAACGAAAGACCGGAAAAGTGAGAAACTAAAACTGTCAGATTCACCCATCCCTAGTGCCACGTTTATCTTTTCTTCTCTCTGCCTAACCAGGAACCTGTGTGTTTAGCTTAAGGCATGGGACAGTTCTGAGTAACAGCCAGGCTTTATGTTTTCAAAAATGCAGATCAGTCACTGCTCCCTTATCCCAGTATCTGAGATGTTACCAGATACCAGCACATTGCTGATATTTAGTCAGGCTGCAACCTCCACATTGGAGGCTATCAAAGCAGTGCACAATAAAGGGAGAATTTGATAAGACACAAACTCTAAAAACAATATAAACCACTCATAAAAACTCTATAAGCAATAAAACCATTTCTACCATTATACAATTAATGTTCCATAAATTGACTAGATCACACTTCAGGCAATGCTTTGTCATTGGCGGCGGCGGTGTGGTGGCAGCGGGAGGCCCCATTAGCTAAAGTGGCACCTCAGGTTAAGAACAGTTTCAGGTTAAGAATGGACCTCCAGAACGAATTAAGTTTTTAACCTGAGGTACCACTGTATATATAACACTCTGTCAGTTTGTTTTTATTTTGTACATAGGAGTAAAAATATTAGAATTCCTCTGGCTCTAGGTCTAGCATGGGTTGAGACATGTGGACTACCAAAACTGTTGGACAAGCCAGGAGAGGAATTTGTAGAGTACAGGGAGAAAAGTTTGAGATGTATAGATTTTGAACGTTGGGAGGTATACATCTGGCAACAGAGTTGTGAGAAAGGGAATTGCTGGCAGGATGTCTGCATTTCTATAGCATGAGGTACAAAGAACTTCAGAATCAGGAATGGGCTACAATGACAAATAGATCATATTTAGGCTGGGTGGGGGGAGAAGCAAGAAGGGGATTTCTCTATATTGTGCTTGCCCTGGCAAGTGTTGAAGGTTTCTGTCATTCCATGCTTTTGGCAGCAATTGAACAGCTTGCTATGCCAAGCATTTTCTTACTGAATTTGTAAACTGATCCTTGATGATAATGTTTCCACTGTACGGCTAATGAAAGGAGAGTTCCTTCTCTATGCCGACAGCAAAATGGGCAACATACAAGTCAGTTATTCATGGCTATCCTTTGGATTATGTTACTCATTCTATTCATTGATACGGGAGCATTTGGGCAGCCTAGTCCACCATGACTTTGCTCATTTTCTCCACTTAGCAGCCAGTCTCTTCTTACTGTTATTTCATCCATTCAGTTATTCCCACAGTGGATAGATCCTGTACCCATGTGAAGGAATGACACGGACCATTAATAGAATCATAGGAATTGCAATTCCCATATAGACAATGGAATCAGGGGTCTACTGGAGAAAAGCCAGTGTGCATGTAGAATGGAGAGATCGCAGTACAAATTTTTGCTCAGTCATAAAGGACTGACCTCTGGTCAGTCATGTTTCCTCAGCATAAAGGCCTTGTAGGATTGTTGTTTAGATAAATGGGGTAAGGAGCTATATGCAACCTGCTGAACCAGAAATGGACAAATCTATCAATTTCAGTTGTCTGTGCTTCTCTCTCTTTTTTCCAACGTTAAATGCAGTTCTCCACATTTCCACAGCAATTCATGATTATTATTATTATTATTTTTCAATCCTCATGAACATGAGTCAGCATGTTAGTGAGTGCTTGTTGTTGTTGTTTAGTTGTTTAGTCGTGTCCGACTCTTCGTGACCCCATGGACCAGAGCACGCCAGGCACTCCTGTCTTCCACTGCCTCCCGCAGTTTGGTCAAACTCATGCTGGTAGCTTTGAGAACACTGTCCAACCATCTCATCCTCTGTCGTCCCCTTCTCCTTGTGCCCTCCATCTTTCCCAACATCAGGGTCTTTTCCAGGGAGTCTTCTCTTCTCATGAGGTGGCCAAAGTA